GTTGTTCTTGTTGCGTGTACAGCTTCCGCCGCAGGCAACGAGCAATCGAAAGGAGCCTTCCTATATAACGATTCAGCCTTGTAGTGATGAAAAAGCAAGAGATTACCTGATGGTTCAATCAGAGCTATGCTGGTTGTTTCGTCTCATTGGCCGCCTGATTTTGGATTCGGCCTTTCTCTCACATCTCAACCATTCATGAAGGTTGCGACTCGCTCACAAACGGTGGGGCAGTTCCCGAATAGCAATTGCCTATGATAGGCTGGGGCGGCGAAGGCATAACACCAAATGCGGGAACAGCCCCTCTGTCTACTTGGCTATGTTTATAATGTACAATAGTTTTGCCTTCATGTTACGCTTGAGTTGAAGGCCTAGCTTCACTTAAGGCTTTATCAGAGGCCTCAAATGTATACTTGACTTCCGCTACGTCAATCTCCCTGCTGTCGACAGCGCCGATTTTTCCAAGGACGTATCAAAGTGTCCAGGGCTGCCGCGTGTGGGTCAGCCACTCGGTATCATTTTACGGTACACCACGTATTGGTGTCGGGTCTCAAAAACACTCCAGCCCCGCATCAGTAGACATTTAACCGCATCCCACAAACTCTCCTCTCCTGCTTCGACATGCCTAGGACGATGTCTAGACTCGAAAGGAGCTTCAATACCCAAAGTAGGGTTCTCCAGAAGTCAAAAATAAAATATTTATGTCCAAAGTGCCTCCAAGGTTTCTCCCGCTCCGACGTTTTATACCAGCATTTCCGACAGAAGGCAGATGCGATCCATAAAGGGCTTGATTCGAATAAAAGCAATTTCGCACTGTTCCTTTCAAGCTATCAGAGATGTATGGGACCTCTGATTCCAGCTGCAAAGCTACCGAAAGCGCCAGATTGTTTTGATATTTTTTTTGTGATTGAACACTATGGCGAAGAAACAGAAAGCCCAAACATATCAGATTATGGTATGCAGTCTATATATATGTCCCAGTCCATCGACAATTCCCTTTACTAAAACAAGCATGCTTCAAGCCCAGTCCTATACGTCTACACCTTCTATGCATTCCCACAGCTGCAACTTTTCTGTTCCGCTTTACCATGATCGCCAGCCGCGTGGCTATGATCATGATTCACATGGAGGTACTGCATTGAGTACTATGCCTGGTGAGGATCTGACTACTGTTTAAAGCGACTGCCAGTTTGCTAAATATTACCGACAAAGTGCCTGAGCAGCATGTACGACACCTGCAAATACTTCACGATGTACAAGTGGAGGCTAAGATCTGTGCACTTCTACCTCAAATGGATAATTGGTTAGATGGGACTTTGCCTCTTTCGGATCAGCCCCGTCATGATTTTGGCGTTATTGTTCCGTCTGTGGATGTTGATAGGCCATTGATCCCAGTCCGAGACCTGCTATACAAAGGGGTAAGCTTCTAAAATATGTTTGGTAACTGTTCGTCGCTCATCATCAATAGTTCGGAACATTCGCCCTCATACGCACATCCAAGGATGTTTTCTCGCCTCAAAACATCCCGAGGCTGTCTATACGGTGCTCAGAGTAGACGGGCCAGGCCTAATCGGCAACCAGAAAGTGGCCATAGGCGATTCAATCTGGGTTAGCCATCAGACAACCTTATCCGCTGGTCTGATCCTTCTGATTGGCGTTTTCCCAACGGTAGTAGTTGGACAGAAGGTCTAGCACACAGGTTGTCGCGGTGTACTTCATGTGGATGGATTTACATATGGATTGTTGTCATTGCGGGTGCGGGCGGCCAGGTTGAAGAGGCTTCGGTTTGATTAGTCATCTATCAAAGTGACAATCTGAATATCGTTATCTTCAGACCAATGCACGGTCGCAGATAGGATAGTCTTGACACAGACGTACATTAGGATGGAGATATGCCCATGGATGGTATTACTACTTTGCTACATACCTTTCTTTATATACAAAAGATGATATTGTCCAGATATAGCCTCAGTTCAATACTCTCTTTCATAAAATGAGTGTATCTAGTCACTCCTACCACATAAGCTGGTCCAACTTCTGGCAACCAACACATCAAGGAAACATAACAGGTTTATCATCTCGATCATGAAGACTTTGCATGACACATGATGCTCCGAACGAGCCCTATACTGCTGCCAGATAACCTTGCATACTTCCTCAAGCTCATCCAGAGGTTCGATAATGAATTGAAGGAGCTCTTGAGAGAATTCGCCGCTTGCATCAAAGTGCCAGGCGAAGAGAGACAACCTTAATAAGGCGTCTAAAATGAGCATGCTGGTGACCTCTTCCACATGCCGTCTGAGTGTTTCATCCCGATCCGGCTTGGATATGTTCGCGGAGTTCGAGCCGTATATCGATCTCAGAAAATATATATGTACTGCCTTGACGGTTGATTGAACCGGGAATACCAGAATCACTTCCGGAAGTAGGGTGTGGGGAGCCTTATCCACTGGCATTAGTGAAGTTATATAAGGTTAACAACTTACCATGATCGTTCGTCAGGAGAATTTCGTTTTGGGCCGCTGCCGCCGTTTCCGGCCGCGCCCCCGTTCGGGTTTAGCCCTCGTCGCCGCCCCGCCGCATCCGGTTTAGCGTAGCCCGATGCGGTTTGGTGACCCGCGCTATGCCCGAGAAGGTACTGCCGCCGTCCACCGCCCCGTATTCTGACCGTCCGGACTATATAAGGGTCGGGTGCGTCGCTCGACGACAACTGCTCGTTCCTCCCCTCACGGCACTGCCCCTGTTTCGCCCGTCCTGCACGATGGAACGGTCATCTCCGACCTCCCGGCTGAACTGCACAGCCTTTCCAGCCCGGGCTGAAAATTCGGACCATCACACGACCTGCCGTCTCCACTGATGGGCATGAATGTAATTCTCTGACTCGCTGTTGTGAGCTGCGAACCCCTCTTTTTGGCGCTCGGCGCGCGCGTTGTTTGTGTTAGGCATGGAAGTTCTAGGCTGAGAGGCAAGAAACGTTGCTGCCTACAGGATGGAGGAGGAGGTGGAGGAGAAGAAGGTTTCATCCATCTGGCGGAATCAATTCCACCAGGCTGTATACACCGCGACGGCGATTCTTGGCCTCAACGCCGTCTGAATTCCACCGCTCCCTCCTTTAGCACTGGGCGGTTTTTTTCGTTCCCTGTGATCTTCCAAGGTCGGCTGGCGGAGGATGGCCTGGGTGGAAAATGCCCCCATCCCATCCCAAGGCCTAGATTCTCTCTAGCGTGCCATTCAGACGGCCGTTCCAGGATCTCATGATGCGCCTCGACAAGGCTGTCTTATCAAGGCCAATCAAAAAAATGCCTCACTTGCTCCTGCTCATCCCGACTTTGCCTCGTACGGTGACGGAAGGACACAACGGGGAAGGGACTAGTACACTAGGAGGCAGTCTAAACCAAATAGACCAGTGGTTGTGGAGAAATTTCAAGATTGTTTCAATAGCTGGTAGCCTCGGTAGTAGATAACGTTATATCAGATTATATAATAATCCCTCGGTAATTCAGCAGAATAACCGAAAACAGCCGACCTTAACACAGGTTCTGGTTTCGACAAAAGGATGTTTAAAATCTCCGTTATAAACCAGGCTCCTTGAGGAAATAGCGCTCTCGTTTCCCACGCAGAAATAGACCCATTCTCTGCAGATTCTGAGATATACGGTATGCCAAACCAGAACCTGCCCGTGTCGGCTTCGCAAAACAGCCTTCTGCGGATTCTTTTGTACTGTCTCATCCTCTCGACCACCATACATTATGCCCACAACTACATCCGAGCAGAAGACTACCCGCCAGTGCCCTTCATCTATCCTACGCCGCAATCATATCGTATTGCCATTATTATCCTTTACCCTCTGCAAACGATTTGTGGTATCCGTGGCTACTACCTGTACAAGGCCGGCAGTATTCGAACTTCGATTCCCTTCCTTGCTTGCCATTCGACACTTGGAATTCGGACTCCGGGTCACTTCGTTGGTGGAGTCCCTCAGATTCCGTGGTTTTGGTTCATGACTATCTGGACAGACTTCTTCGCTGGGGTTGCATTGGCTGTTTTCTGTTATAAAGCTTATATTTCGACGAGGGGGTAGTTATTGGCTTGGTTTGGGGCGGTTAGATGGCTCTAAAGCCGGTTTTTATGCGCCTAGTTGAATGACCCTGTTAGCCAATTGGGGAAAGAGTTCGTGTTTTACATCAGTTGTTAGGACTCGGCCTATATGCTTGGAATACTACTGGACCCGAATTTCGGTCAGGTGGCCAAAGGCTGCGAAGAGCTTGATTTCGTACATACATACAACCTGTATTGTTTCTATATAGATATCAAGGAAGAATTGCATTCAGAGAACCCCATATTCATGCCTAAGGTAGGTACCACGGACAGCAAAATGCACGATACCGTGAGAAGGCTAGGCCTCGACAGGAATCGCGATTCTCCAGGTCCGGACCGGTTCCAGAACCGCCAAGACCCGGTTCCCTGGGTTTTTAGAACCGCGATTCCACACTTGAGCTCTTGGAACCGACCCTGCAGGTTTATTAATAACCTGCAGGTTCCTCAAACACTGCAAACTAGGGAAGTCCCGTCACCAGCATATTTTATGCAGTTTTGATCCGTACTTTTAAGTATTCGTCTTACATCTCTACTCAGAAAAAAGAGATAGAAATAAAGTAGATTAGGCAGAGTTCAACGTAATGTAATAGCATTTGACTAAATTTCTATCTTTTCTATAGCTTTTGATATTCATACAAATCTTCATCTCTTCGTATACGCTTAGGAACCCGCCCAGATATACGCCTTTGGGTATAGCTATTCTCTGGAAGAGGTATCCCATCCTCCTCATTCTCACTATTCCCGTCTTGTTGAATGTGCGGCGTCTGGGTACTAGATATAGCTGTTGCTGTTGGTTCGATTCTTGGTCTCTTACAAAGAACACTCTCATTGGCTACCTGATTCGACTCATGATGCTGTATTAGTATGATCCCCTTCCTCCTCATTATCACTGATCAGATCGAATACCACCTCCTTCTTTTTCAGGGCCTCATTCTCTTCCTTTCTGGCATGAATCTCTTGTGTAGATAGATACTCATCAATAGACCGCGGCATATCCTCAATGGGGACTTCCATGGACATCCACGAGGATATGAGGATATATTGCGGATATCCGCACTAGCATAACTCTCGCTTAATTATCTACTTGGGGATAGACATCTTCAGAGCGCGACAGTGGGCTTAACCCTTGGGCCCAAAGCCCGACCCGACGTGGGCCCGTGGCTCAACTTTTAGGCCCAAGCCCGGCCATTCGGCCCATGTCGAAAGCCCATTGTTGCATAAAAGTCTGGTCTTGGCGTTCATAAGGGCGCTTAATAATCTAATTAAATGACGGTTTTTTACGTCCGTTCTGGTTCTTCTCATAAGAATGCTGTAACTGAGCACCTAGAAATTGGAAAATGTAGGAAATCACTCCGAAATAGGAATAAAAATCCCTCGTTCTTTAATATTTACTACAGAGAAGATATACTTTCTACAGTTTCAAGCGCTCGTTGTTGACAGAAGAATTGTTCTTCCATGGAGGATAATATATATAGGCGATATATGGGGGTCCGGCGCGGCGGGTGATTATGTAGGTTACTATGGCGTAACCACCCATCTCCCGAATATGCTGAAATACATCTGGGGGCGCGAGCATTCCGCATACTTACCCACCTACAGCAATTTACACATACCGCTTCAACATTCTTGCACGCGTCGATTTATGCTTATGTTTCCACGTATTATAATGCTGTTGTCAGATTGTCATGGTGGAATCCTCCGGGTGAAACCTCTTACGGTACTAAATTGACCTGAAAGTTAAGTCCTCTTCGTCAACCTCCTTTCACTAGATTACCTATGTCTCGGAAACGGCCGCGTCCTTCTTCGTTCCCTCATAGGATGGGCCCCTTGATGCCAGCAGCTCTACGTCCTCGGACATGACCGCTGTAACAGAGCGTCGTGTGGCTATAGCTAGGCAGCTAGCTTCGTACAGCGAAGACGCCTTGAATCTATCTCGAATCAACCGGCCTGAGAATACGTCAAAGGCGTACAATCCAAAGCAGAAAGAATGGATAGATTGGGTCAAATGAATCGGCTTTCCTGATGGCGAACTGGTAACGGAACATAAGCTCGTCTGGTTTCTTAAAGAGGAAGTCCTCAGCCGTGAAGTCCGATCCTGTCGGTATAAGAAGCACCGTACAACTGAAGAAGGGGAGCCGATCATCCGTACCCTTGGGAAGAGTTCTGTACAGAGCTACATATCTGCAAATATAGACCTCTGGTCATATTAGAAGAGCAGCGGAATCAACCCAAATCCAAACCCTCGCGGCGAGGCAGTCACCGCGCTTTTAGATGACCATGCACGCCATGAGTATATACGAAAACGGGATCAATATCTTGATCGGACAGCGGGCACTTTTGTGGATGGCTATGATGAAAAAAAGGATAGAGGCTTTTGTTCGATACTGCTGGGACGGCTGGGCGCAAAATCTACCCGAAAACTCCCAGCGCAGGAAGCCGCAGAGCATTGAATCCCACCTACGTACGGTCGTGGACTTCCTTTTCTCGCACCATATGATTACACGGGGCCATTCACGCCGGAGCTTGCAGTTCGCAGATCTTTTTACCATTCCTTTGAAAAATGAAGGGCCTACGCCTTGTTTTCCAATGATCATGATTATGGATAATGGTAAGACAAATGCAATGGGCCGCTTAGAATATAACTCGGTAATACGGCATTGCAACCCAATGGTCTGTACAATGGCCCACACAGCATTCTATCTTTTTTTCTGGTGGAATATTGGACGCGAGCCCGTGCCTCAGTTTCGCCGGCGACCCCAGTGGTACAACTTGCATTTACTTAGGGGAGAATCAGCGGAAAAACCGCTTTCGTACGACAACCAGCTTTACTAGATCAACCGTGTATTTGCCCAGATTGGCCTCAACTCGGTGAAAAAGACCCATATCGGCCGATCCGAAGGAGCTAGATGGGCGGAACTGAATGGGGTATCAGAAAACCAAATTCGCCGCGCTGGGCACTGGAATAATGACGCCCTAACGAATTGCTATCTCACCCACCTTCCGCGAAACTTCATACGGGCAATGGCGGGCTTCGAGCCTTCTACCAGGGGGAATTATCCTTTGCCCCGAGCAAAAATCCAATCCCCTGAGTCTCTCACTCACGCTCTATGGCCATGGGTTGATGAATGGCTGGACTGGTTTGAGTCTTATGGAGACGCCAGTCGGCAGAATGAGAAGGAAAGTGATAGCGAAACGGAAAAGGTGAATGAGGATGATCGGCAAGATATGGCAGCCCAGGGATTCTTACGGCTTCTCGTCCAGCTCCGTATAATTCATCTACAAGATTCCGTCATCTTTCGTGAGCAGTTTCCGTTGCATCCTATTTGGAGCGACCCCATTTTTTTGCGAGACGATTATGAGGCGTTTGCTACGGAGGTCAAGCAATCCATGCGGGACGTGGAAGAGCCTGAAGAGGTCCGACTCCGGCAGGCCCTCCCAGCCCTAGCTGAGCGCCTGAACCATGTCCGACAGGATCTCCAGCAAGGGCTGGGCCACGCCATCAAGGAATGGGGCAGTAAAACGCACCTTCAGCTTCAAGAGATCAATAATTATCTCCATGATATTATGGATGGTCGGGTTGCCTTTACCCTGCAAGAGGTGGACCCGAACGCAACCAAGTCATTCATGTCTGCTGTCCAGAGTCCACGACTTATTCCTGAATCCATATCAGCCCCTTCTGCCCCTTCTGCTGTCACTGCGGCCGCCGCTGATGGTAGCGGTGCAGTAACTGTGCAGGAGACGTTTGAGTCCGTACCCACACCAAACCATGCAGGAGGGATCCCTCACTATGTGCCTTTCCGGACAGTACACACCGTACCGGAGCTCTGGAGGGAATGGACATCTGGGCTGGGAGGTAAGCCTTCTATTCAAAGCCTGGAAGATACATATGGCGCAGCCTGGCATCCTTTACAGCGCGAGCGGGTCAAATTCTGCCGTAGGAAAGTAATTATCGATGAAATCCGTAAAAGGCACGCCACGGGAACTCCTCTTCTGAAGGCTGTGGAAGAGGTGGAGCTAGTACGCCAGCGAGGGAAGATGAGTCTTCACGCACTCTCTCAGATGCTGCAGAAGAAGATGCATAAAGGAAAGACTAATCTATCTCATAAAAGGGGGGCAAAGCAGAAATAGTACAGAAACATATCTTTCTACAGTAGCGGGAGCTACTCTGAACGGAAACTGCGTTAAAAGTGTTGGATAATCTTTATCAAATTTTTTTTTTTTTTTTTTTTTTTTTTTTTTTTTTTTTTTTTTTTTTTTTTTTTTTTTTTTTTTTTTTTTTTTTTTGCCTTGTTTGGTCTTACGGAGCTGGGTACCACCCTATTAATAGTTCAAAAACTGTTAACTATTTAAAGTTGTCTCTTGATGAATAAGCTGCACAACGCCTAGTCGCATAAATTTTGGTATTGTAATGGGATAGTAATGGAAACAATTTTCCTCAACCGACGGAACCAGCCAATAAGTGCCAAGATTTCGTGGGCTCAAGGTATCCCCAAATATGTGGCATTCTTTGGGGGTCAGCTTGCGGGCGGTTATTCGGATAAGACGAATATTTGGGGGGCTGACTGGATTACGCGAAATTTCCGGGGGTGTGATATATCTTTCTACATGGGCGAGTATATATCGCACAGACGCCTACTGATGACCTTCTGTACTGCAGACAACTCCTTTCCAAACCTTGATTAAGGCCGGGTTTTCTCTCGTATACCATCCTGCCTTATATATAGCTGAATCATATCTATTTTAATATGATCGTCTGAACAGAAGTATTATGTTTTACGTTGTACTTAGGCCGTGACCCCCGGGTCCTGGACTGTTGGTTAATATTTCTAGATGAGATAACTCAGTATCTAGACAGTGGTATGTTTATAGATCTTCGATCTCTCTCTTGCTGAGCCTTTACTAGATATAATCGATATGGAACCTCTTCCTTTCTGGAGGGATAACCAAACCCGCTTCCCTGCAATCGCATCTCTTGCACGGGATATCCTTTTCGCTCCAGCAACCGGTGCAGGCGTTGAGAGACTTTTCAATACTGCCCGTGATCTCTGCCATTACCGGCGCGGTCAGATGAAGTCCGAGACAGTTGAAGACCTGATGATGTTTCTTTGTACTGCCAGATTTGATCTTGGACAACAAGAGATGCAGTATCTTCAGGAATATTTCACTCGCCATGAGATAGAAACACAGAGGGAAGAAAGAGATGAGAAGTTAGGGCACATAGAACTTGATGAGATTAGCGAGACTGAGGAACAGGATATGGAGCAGGACGAAGAGCAGGATAGGGATGATCCTGAGCCACAGCTACCAGAAATTAATCCCCAGCAACGTGTGTCAGGAAGGAAACGGAAGATAAGAGAGGATGATGTCTTCCAGCACTACTAATAGATCAGTTAAAGGAAGCAGTATGCCAGTATGAAATACTATATCAAAACTTGCTACTGGATATAAGAGCGTCCTGTATCTGAAATACTCAAAATACCAAGGGTATAATGCAGAAGTTATGTAGTCACGGCGTCAAGCGCTGTTTGCATCGTTTCGCAGAGTTTGGGGGCCCATATGGGCCCCATGCGTGGGCTTTGGGCCCGTACATAGAGCCTGTTGAATATCACGGTGGCTGAACCTTGCAGCATGGATTGGAAATGGCATATATATAGCATCCCACCCTGTAAAGATAGATATAGCTCTTAATAAGACAACCAACAATGATCGATCTTTTCTCATTCATCAGGTTATGAGCCCGGAGTTGCTCACCCTGAATTGGAGAAACAATCCCTACTCCTAAGTTTCCCCATTAAGAGCACCTACTTACTGAAATCGGATAACTTATTGATTCTTCAGTGAAGAGGATATACTCCCAACGATCAAGAGGGGATAGTTTTGTGTGGAAAAGTCTCGCGATTCTGACAAAAATCGCTACACTGCTGCAGATACTTCGCCAGACCAATTATAGCCTACAACATGTCCTCACAAGAGACAACACATTACCACAGCGCCAAGGAAAATCGACAAACAAATCATAGCCTACGACTCCTCCCAAGAGGGGATATCTCGTCACACCGCTACAGACATATCATACTGCCAGAGACATTTGAAACAGCCTGCACCCTTCAACATACCGAGATCCCTTTTGGTCTTTCATACCTATCTACTCGAGAAAAGGCGATGCGCTGGCCATGCTAACTTATGACAAGAAAGCATAGATCTCATAAGGAAATCCAAAGGGCGAAGTTTCCATTGCTCTCACGACACGCAGTCGGAGGGGCGTACAGAAAATTACCACCGGAAGAACGCACACGTCGGGCACATGCTGTTGCATCTGTAATTGCCAGATCCCGCCGTACCACTACACGCAATTCTCCTTGTCCGGCTCAACCTGCGCTCTTTAGTCTCGAACAGGGCCCGAGTCGCCTCAACTCAACGGAGACCGAGATCGGATATACAAAATTAATCTCAAGTGGTGACAGCTCATCCCGGTATAATCTTCGGCCAAACAGACCCAGAAACTTGCCCGAGCAAAGCCCTCGATACACGGTTGATCGTGTCCGTTTCCCTTACTTCTTTGAGCCGTACCGCCGTTACCTCAGCCTGTGCGATTTACCAGACAGTGAATACGCCCCTCCATCACACACACCTACGCCAAGCTCGTCGGACCGCAGCCCGTCCGTCATCTCGAGTCTTCTTAGCCCTGCGTCAAGTCTAGAGCTCTTTGGGCTAGAAGTACGTTCCCTTAAGTCTTCGGATGGAGATTCCTCGGTCACTGCCGACTTAGCCAACAACGAATCCAGTCCAGAGTTCTTCAGTCCCGAGGAGCATCTACACCATGATGGACGCTGCCAGATTTGAACAGCTTGGATTAAGCACATTCTATAACAACATCCCGGTCATTGTTAAAGCCAGTGACTGGTTGGAATGGAAAAAGGGTTAAAAGGTTATTTTATAGTTAGTTTCTTTTTTTAAGTGGAAGCAGAAGGTCAACGAGTTCCTTCGAATTTCTCCGGTTGCCGACGATGGAGAGGTGCCGCCAATTGAGAAGGACAAAGCACGACAGTGGGCCCATCGCCAGAAACTCTACTCGGCGATGATCACAGCGAAATTGACACACAATGCGGCCCAGAGCATCAACGTCTCTGAGATTTCACAAGTCCAGTCGCTTATCAAGGCTGTAAAAGACCTTTTCAAACCAGAAGGCATTGGCACATACGTGAATCTCCAGCGACGGTATATGTCCCTCACGAGAGAAAAGTGTGGGAGCGCCCAAGCGTTAGGCGCTGAGATCCGGAAGATTCATGCTGAAAAGCTCCTCCTTGACCCAGACTGTGTTACCTCCGAGATTGAGCGAACATTCTTCTTCTTGCATGCACTTGGACCCGAGTATGAGAGCTTCCGCGACCATATCTTTCGACAAATGAACCTTGTCAATGAAAGGGATGCCGATGACACCATTACGAGAGCGGCGCCCACGTTCGGCTATATTGAGAACAAGGCCATTAAGGAAGAACATCAGAAGGGACAGTTGGGCAAACAACCCGTCGACGGGCACACACTGCCTGCCCTCGCTCTCATCCGTGAACCCGGCGACAAGAATCTCATACCGTCACTGGACGGGACGACATGTGGAATTAAGATCGATAACGTCCCATTCTGCTCCTTCTGCCGGAAACCCTATCACGTGGACTCTGAGTGCTTCCGCAAGAATCCAAAACGAAAGGACCAGACGAAAGACGGAAAGAGCCACAAGGAAAAACCGGGTAGTTCGCATACGGGCGCCCGCAGGCCATTAGAGAGGCGGCCCTCCACTCGTGACGAAGATGAACGATGTAGCTGGCCCAAAGGATCCAAAGAGACCCACCTTCATGGCGACTCAGGTCTTCAAAGAAGATGTCAATAAAGCATTCGGAAAGGATGTAGAGGGCAACCTCGTCCTGCTCGATCACATCCCCTCAAATGATGGCTACAAAAACCCTGCCGATCCGTGATGCGTGGATCGTCAAAGGTGGATGTGCTCAGCGTGTCTGCAATAGCACCTCGAGGTTTATACAGATGGACAAGTATCATGGAATCCCCCTGAGGAGCGTCGATACCTCCACGACTCCCTCAGGCGTGGGAACGGTAAATATCCTGCGCAATGTGCGCGGCCGAAGGAAATGGCTGATGCTCGACAACGTCCTCTACGTCCCGTCAGCACACGCAAACCTGATATCAGTGCCAGCTTTTCAATCGAGGAGCCAGAGTTGAATTCTCAAGTCAGGGGGCCAGTATTCGCAACAAGTCAAACGGAAAGAACCTATATACAGCCAGCCAGTATCATGGAGTGTACGCACTCGATCTCTGGACGAATCTTACCTTTCCCGCCTACCATGTCAGTCCGCAAATGACTCTGTGTCATAACCGGCTGGCCCACCTGAGCGACGCGAACATACAACGGCTGCAGAAGCAGGCCCACGGCATCCGGGACATGGAACCACGTCAGCCATGCAACCCGTGTCTCCGGGGGCGAATGATTGGGAACCCACACCCGATCGGGACAAAGCAGAAGAGGGGAATACGCAATGGAACTCCTCCATATTGACGTCGCGGGGCCATTTGATGAGGCCTGGACGGCAGTCGCTACTGGCTTACTATTGTTGACGATTTCACAGGCTGGGTCGAGATTATTCCGATACCACGACGGCAGGAATACGTTGTCGAGTCACTGCGTTTCTTCCTCGACCACAACGAGCGGCCTGAGCGAAAATGCAGACGAATCCGACTCGACCGGATCCCGGAGCAAGTGGGAGAGGAAATGAAATTCATCCTCTTCTCACGGGCCATCCAAGCGGAAGTCACAGGGGTTGACCAACACCAGCAGAACGGAGTCGCTGAACGAGCACACAAGACAATCTACGATTGAGTCGGCCCAACGCTCGCACATGCGGGGTTATCATCGAAATCCTGGCCCGAGATTGCGCGAACCGCAGCCTTCCTGTCCAACCGGTCGCCCTCATCCGAACTGAACATGACTCCATATCAAGCGTGGTACGGTGTCAAGCCGGACTTATCGCGACTCCGAGTGATCGGATCCAAAGGGGAGCACTTGATTCCCCCCAAACTGAGGAAGAAGCTCACAGGGCCAAGAACAAGGCCATGCATTCTACTAGGCTACGAGAGAAATACCAACTACCGTATCCTGCTGGAAGACGGACGAATTGTTGGGACCCCAAATGCTGAATTTCATGAAGTCCTTAAAGCTCCTTCCACACAGACCAGAGAAGATGTGGTGGCCAGACGAGACGGCTTACCTGCGGTACGGTTGCTGCCGCAGGGGGAGTGAGACGGTGGGAATAATAAACCAACCGTCGGTAGGCATACGGCAAGCATCCGTGCCCGCTTCGGGGCGCCAATTATCGATGGCACCGCCGGAGCGGGCCCTACCTAAGTCGAGGAAAGATATCTCGCACACATTGCTTCGATCGAGTAACGATGACTCACGAGTGCTAGCCCAGTCGAGTGACGAAGACTCGCAGCCACCCGTTGCTGTACCGGGAGACAGGACCTTGTCGCCTAACCGGCGTGATGATACCTTTTGGGCTTCGGCAGATGATTTACAAGACATCGTCCGAAGGAATGAGTCACCAACCGGCGGCGACCAGCAACAAGGCGACGATCAGCAAGGTCAGATCCTAGGAGAAGGGCAACGTTATCCAGAACTCCAGCGTGACCGCCCAATCTATACGGTGCGACAAGAAGCTCTAGAACATCATCCTGAACTTAAAATTCGCGCTCCGCAAGCCACACTGGACACGTTTAGTGACAGCGAAGAAGAACTTGGGTTAATGCATATGCCTGAAGATAATGTCATCCCAACAATCTTAACTGTGGCTGCAAAGGAGAACGAACCGTTTGAGCCAAGGTCTCTGCATCAAGCGAAGAACGACGCAAACTGGCTCGAATGGGAAAGAGCCATGCTTGAAGAAGTTAACTCGCTTCACCAGAACAAGACGTGGGAGCTTGTTGATCCCCTCAAATACCGGCGGATTCTAAGTAGAAAATGAGTATTCAAACTCAAACGGGGACCGCGTGGTGAAGTCATCCGCTACAAGTGACGATGTGTAGTCAGGGGTTTCACACAAGAAGAAGGGATCGACTATGACCAAACGTTCGCCTCCGTGGTCAAGCCAATGAGCTACAAAGCTCTGTTCGCAATCGCAGCGGCGTTAGATCTCGAGATTGAACAAATGAATGTCAAGACGGCATTCCTGTACGGGTACATAGACCAAGAGATCTACGTCGAACAGCCTCACCACATGACCGACTGCACATCCAAGCTCTGCAAACTCCGAAAGGCACTGTATGGCCTTAAACAAGCCTCAGATCTGGTACCAGTCCCTGACAAATTCCCTACGAAACTTGGGCTTCGAGCCGATCAACGCTGACCTGGGCATCCTCGTCCAAAGTAACATGTACTTGTGTACGTCGATGACCTCCTGATCGTAGGACCCAGCGTTGCAGAAATCAAGAAGATCAAGCGGAGCCTCCGAAACAGCTTCCAAATGACAGATCTGGGGCGATGCAGTTACTATCTCGGAATGTCCGTCCGACGAGACCGTCAAAACAGGATACTGTACCCCAGTCAAGAAGCGTATATTGACAAGGTCGCTCAGCAGTTCGAAATCAGCAACGGCATTCCCGTCAGCATCCCGATAGAAACCTCACCCCTTCCCAAGAACAGTCCGGGATACGGCTCCAAAGCGGAAAGCATAAGGGCTGAATCCTGCTAGAGTGAGAATATAATTAGGGGTGCTCAGCAAGTGCGGAGCACAAGAAACGGGCGTCGCAGAGGTTTCGAAGCCGCGCGTCACGGGGGCCGCAGAAAAGAACACCAGGCAACTAGGCCAACATAGGCCTTGACGCGGCTCGAAATTCGTTAGGAAAGCAATGGTTAAGTGTATATAAAAAATATATAGGGAGAGATAGACAGGGTATCCTCAATATCGCTCTTATTTGCGAAGAGTCAGAGTATGAATATACACACACACAAGAAGCGGGAATGTATGGTCCTATCACTGCGAGGTGTTTAGCGCCCCTAATGCAAGTTACATCACAACCAGCCCGCCTGATAGATCTACTTTTAACATCGCCGTTGGGTTGGTGTCAATTTCGAAAGGGAAGCCCGCGCATGGTGATTTCAGAGGGGTAGTTCTGCTCGAATTCGTATTATACCGTCCTCCAGCCTGCATTCCACTATTCCATGAAATATTCTGGTCTTTGACGCACTTGAAATCAATACAGCATTGCTGGGAATATAGAGTAAGACGACTGCGGAGTACGGTGTGACGATACTATGTAATTTGCATCCGCCGCTAGTAGGTACGAATTAAAAAATGAGGACGTGGCCCCTCTTGCCCACTATCAAGGGCGTCGAGATCTACTAATGCACAAGATATCACAAGTTACGTATCTCTTCCGTCATATGGGATACCTAAATCAGTAATATGCAGCATTGGTAAACGAAGCAAACAGGATCTAAGCCCATAGAGGGTATTTGTCATGATGTTGAGGAGAGCCCAAAAAATACTATTTCCGGGCACCAAAGTGCGCAATATTATGTATGTTGAGTAAACCAGGCATCTTGGTGTGATCATCAGGAATGAATGCAGGTAAATTTGTGTACTAAACCAGGGAGACGCATGACATGGGTGAAAGTAAGTTATATAGATTACCGAAAGATCATCGCAAAATCTTCTCCATAGGTGATTCTACCCTAATAGCTTCATCAGAAAATGGCCCATTACATTCAATAATGCATTGACCTTTTCTAAGCGAAGGAACGCTTACACGCAAATTTTGTTTTTGAATAGTATCCCATCATTCTCCTGTCTGCGGATACTGTATAGCCAAGCGCTCAGAGAAGAGAAAGATCCCGATCATTTTCCACTCCTCTCGGGCACCTCGTGGCGCTGTATCCCTACACTTATCTTCGTCTGTATCACAAAACGCGTGTCAATTCGACTCCACACAAACCTAGCGAGTTAGTAGACATCTCTTATACAGACCAACAAATCTGGGCATAGCGGACTGGAAAAGGACGCTCTGAAGTTCGTCTAAGATATGCCCGCCAAAGCGGCGTATTTTGCACAAGTAGGCAATGGTATCCTAAGTAAGACCCAACCACCGAGAAAGAGATAGGTAAGGGATTATAGTATACTACCACGCACATGCTTGCAGACTGAGAATGCATGACTTGGTAAAGGGAATAAAATTTGCGGTTTCTATTTAGGCGGGCATGCCGTGCCGCTGCCAGCTGCTACAGCGGATTTGCGTGGGGTCCCTTGCACGTCCGCCAAATGTAACTACACGGCGGCAACTTCTGCCAGCCAATGAGGGCAGACGTACGAATGCCAGCACTTGCAGCGAGGTGTCACGCTGAATATTGATCACCGATTTCGTAGACGTGCTGCAACCGTCAGCTGGGAATGGTCGACGCCCAAACCAAGGTCCTTGGTGAATCCTGGTTGCTGTCTTGCCTACGAAAACAGTAGGGGCCAAGGCCAGAATCTTTAAGTTCCCCACGCAAAAATTCGAACATCATGCCCAGTGCATGTTCTTTCTGTCTATAACGTTTCACCGCGTTATTTCGACCACGGAGACATCACGGGGCTCAGCAATATCTGCGAGCCTCGTCGCATGCGAAACAGGTTTTAGTTGCTATTTCATCATGATTACGCAAATCAATTCGGCCAGATCAACATGTCAAAAGTACCTTTCTGCCGTTTTTGGCAGCCGCCGGGTAACAGAAGCCAAAAATGTCTATCGATACCATTGGGCTGAACCTCAATGTGAATCGTCCGCCGTGCGGGTTCAAGGCCGCGGTATGCAGTCACGTCCGATTTAGATTAGTGTCCGGTGCTTCAGGGGGCCAAGGCAACTAACTGAACAAGTAGGCAGCCATCCGGTCTTCGCTGGTTTAATAACCAACCCGGTAATCTACCTGTCCGTCATAGGCAATGGAGATGGACTGTTACTGACACCTACACAATCAATACGTTTCTATACGGACATCTTTGTCAGCTTCTAGACACCTCAAGGCATTCTTCTTACCCTAGAAACCTTTTGAAGTACATTATCCTGTCTTGGAACCTTTCTCGGTCGGGAATTGGTGGTAGGTGATGTGGAAAGCTACCACCCCAAACCATTTGTTTGGTACTTCGAACTTGGAGCGACCCATATACGCAGCACGGTATACAAAATATAGACAGTTGGCACTCTTCTCTTGACAGAATCTCCCTATTTTACGTTTGTATAAAAGGAATATAGTGCTTCGATTGGACAGAAGTAGAATGATGAGCAATGTGTTTGTGGAGAATGTCACGCGCATTGTCGATCGCTCCGGAGACGAATCAGGTGCCAAGGACATTCGCATAATCGTAAAGATTTCTGATTAAGGCTTTCTATTGTCTGGAGGTGCCACAGCAGCTGTTTGTAGTAGCAAACATGGTTTTCTGTATGCGACTTGCATCCAATTACAAAGTTGCTTTAATTGTAAAGATTGCTCATTCATTGCGCCTCCACAAGTGAGAGACCGCGCAGCCATTAGGCATGCTAATGGAGCAGGAAGGCGCACACCATTCCCGAATACCTACCGGCTGGTTTTGCTTGGGCTCTGCGGGGCGTCTCAGCTCCCTCCACCGTTCATTGCACTTGCGATATGATACATCGTTCAGCCTGAGGTATTGACCTCCTGTCTCTATGTGGAGACGCATGTTCTGTGAATTAGATGTCAATAATACTTCTGTTTAGTGACGTCTCTGCAGACCTCCTTTGTTTGGCTTTCCCACTCACTTGTCACTTACTTTAGCTCCACCGTAGGTGGTTGCCACACTCGGAGACGCTTTACTCCCTTTTTCTGTCACCTGTAACATTTCAAGACTGTCATCCGTTTTAACTCTTATTCCGGTTTCCCTTGGGTCATCACTTTAGTGGAATAATCAGTTCCCTATATTCATTTCTCCATCTCCTCATTCAGCTTCTTTACGTACCTCTGGACTTGTGTTGCCTCCCTGTGCTTTTACTATATCGCTATTCGGTCGACTTTTTCTTACGTTGAGTAGCAGCTCACCTCCTCAAAAGACTTGGGTCTGCGCTTTGCCCCTCAGATCATGAGACCTAGTGGTGGACGCGGTCATTACTGCACTTGGGAGCACTGCAACAAGGTATACGCTTTTTCCCAAATCGTTTCCTGTTTTATCTCGGTCCCTTCGTTCGTTACAGCAGACGAGATTTCACGCTTACAGAAGCAGGTCTTCAATCGCAAATCAGACCTGTGCAGACACTACCGCATACATACCAATGAGCGACCGTATCATTGCACTGTCAAGGACTGCAATAAAAGTTTCCACCAGCGAAGTGCCTTGACGGTGCATTCGCGGGTCCATACGGGAGAAAAGCCTCATGTTTGTGAAGACAGAGAATGCCGTAAAGCTTTCTCTGACGTACGTACCGTATCCTCTTACCCATGTCTCCTAGTGCTGACCGCCACAAGTCGTCAAGTCTTGCCCGTCACCGGAGAATACATACCGGAGAGCGGCCCTATATTTGCCAGGAGTCGACTTGTAAACAAATGTAGGGATTCCGTCAGTTATGGTTCCGCTGGCTTTCTAACAACATGGAGGTTCCGCCGCAAGGCAAGTTTGATAAAGCATCAACAACGGTCTCATCCCCCAAAAACCGCAAATTCTCCCTCCTCGAGAGATGCAGTTTCCGGAGATTCAGATCCAGGTCAAGTCGCCATTTTCATCTCGGACGAGCAGTGTCCCTCAAACCAGCAGGAAACACCGACTCATGAATCTCATGCCCTCCGGATGCTATACGTAGCACAAGCTTCCGTACAAGATCAAAATCCGATTGTGACGCAGCCCATAATGGCCACATCATCGGTCGAGACACAGCGTGCTCAGCATTACTGCTTATCTCTAGTGCAGCAGCGGCAATATGTTCATGTGTACCAGGGACATCTACCGCTGGGGATTGAGCAACCCTATCGCAGTCTTTCAATCGCAGAATGCCCATCGCCTATGGTCACTAGGACTCCAAGTGGCTACAATCCGGCAGCCCACATTGTGAACCAGCCTGAGGGGACAAATGCGATTCATCCCTGGGATGCGGACTGGCGAACCGGCAACTTATATGACGGAGACTGCTTCAGGCCAAGTTTGCAATGTATGCGAATTGTCTGATCTCATTTCATTGGGCGGTTTGCCGTTAGAAGATGTAGTGAATAATTATTGCTGTTATTTCTGAGAGATGCTGCAGATATGTACCCCTGCTCGATGATATGATCAGTTCTGATACATTACCCATGCTTCGAGGTAATGTCCTGGTTGATTCTTGACGTTGATGGTGCAGGTATTGCGAACTGAATTGGGGCGGGAATGTTTGCTGCACGTACGGGAATTAGTCTCGCAGTGATGAATTATGGGTGCTCATCACGTGCCAAAGCTGCACGAAGCTGCACGAAGCTGTGGAAGGAGCAGGTGATTGCTTCGGTAGTCCACTTGCGCAGAAACTATGCTAGGGCTGATGCGGACGCTGTGACTGCAGTGAACAGCTGTATCGAGATGTGGCAGCCGACGGAGTAACGGAGTCATTGGCAAACGAATGCGTGGAGGAGCCTGAAGAACATCTGGCGGAAGAGGGTGCGAGGACAGCAATTGTGTGGCGCGAGGAAGATGTACACAGATCTCTTTCTGGATACATGCATGCGTTCGTGTAGTATCAGTCTGATTTCTAGGAAGACTTGATTAACATCGAGTTTCCTTAAAACTCCTCCGCGTGATCCATCGATGGATTCGCTGCAGTATCCATCAATGGGGTCAGACTAGTCAGGACGTCCCCTTCCGCCTGCCCTGGGGTTCGAGGTCGCTTAGTCATTGCCTAGTAAGCAGCTACACCTGAATAGCTGGCCTACCGGCTACCCAATAGGAGGACAATCGGTCGCTTCCCACAGGTTATGAGCCCTTAATGCTTAAGGAATTTAGCTTCTTGCTAGATCATATATACGCAGAGTCGATTCCTAAAGCCCTGAGCAACTTTTTACACCAGTTTTTTGCATCCTAGACCCGTACCAGGGGGGAGCATCAATTTTGTAGATTTACCCCTGGATCGAGACCACTGCAGAGGCTGTTGTAATTCAAAGGAAGCTTGATTATTATTATTCAGAGGAAACATGAGGCTATATATACAACGAGAAGATTAACTTGATTTCCAATCATGTTGATTCTTCGTATACATACTTCGGGATTAATTCCGATGGTTCGGCTTAATTCCTGATCTACACCAGCCTCATATTACAACACTCAGCGCACTACGACAATTATTACAGCACAAGATTGGAGGCGCATCCAATAATATATCAGATAGGCTGGGAGAAGCAGGCCACACAGTAGGGAAGGTAGGCTACAAGATGTCCCGCCAGACAGCAGCATCCTTGGGGCGGTACTGGATTTCGCGGAGGCATCGCAGGGTTTCGAGGTCGCGCGCCACGAAGGCGGCAGAACACAAGCCCAGGCACAGGCCAGCACAGGCCAGCACAGGCCTTGACGAGGCTCGAAATTCGTCGGGGAAAGCAATCGTTCACAATGGAAGCTCATAGAGGATGTAGATAGTGGATCCCTGCATGTCGCCTAGGCAGTTGGATTCTAAACCATAACCCACTAGGCTAGGTGCGGATTCGTATTTTGGTCTAGTGGGGAAAAACAACATAGGCGAGGGGTCAGCGTACGAATTGTCATCTTCATCATCATCTAATGCAACAGAGGCTGCGTATCATCTTTATTGCGAATATACCTTGATAAAAAGTCAGAGGCACTGTGGGAATTGCCACGTTTTAGGAAGTATTGCCTGGTTGGCATTGGGCCGTCTGGGGAAGAGCAGCGGATCTGGGAGAACGTTACGGCTTCAGTGTACCAGGAGTAAATTCTGATGAGCCTCTTTACCTGACAAGGTGGTTACTATCGTGTACATTCTGCAGTGGCCCTCCACCGGTCCGGCTTCCTTGCATCTGTTGGTTAATTTTGGCCTAGGCTTCTTCGGTCGAACAAGCATTACGGTCGGAGGTTACGAAAAGCGTCGCCTGGTACAGCCTCTGGTTTCCGCACATGAGGGGAAGGTCGGGAGCGGATGGCTTAGCAAAAGAGCAATAAGCAGTGAACAAGTTCTGAGTTTGCAGGAAATCTCGTAGTCATCCTAGTCATCCTAGCCAATACAAACAATAGACTCTCCACCATCCCATGTTACCCTTTCTCTCATCATGATCTTGAAAGTATGATGTTTAGTATCAATGACTGCTTCGTCCTCCCCTACAATGTACGCAAAGAAGCAAACACTATTGCTTCTTCGGTCCCCAGGCTATCAATGCGATAGAAGCCAACAGGGATACGTTCGCGTTCAATGTTTTCACTATCCACTGGGACATGTTTTCAAATTGTCTCATACCATCTGGGACCGAATCGGTGAATTATCGTGGGTGAACAGATGCGATGAGATTGTTGGCTCTTGCGCGGAAATAATAGTACGTACCGCCAGATGTCTCTGATGTCGGATAATTGTGAAGGTTTCAGTAAGCACTTTCGCAGCTGGCGTATCGGTCGTGTACTATGGCCCTATATTAGAGTAGAATCAACGTATCATTGACCATTCATGTACGAAAAGTAGACCATTGATACGCATGATTACAATCGCGAGCGACAAGGCCTACATTTGTAGTAGCCTAGGGTAATAGTATGTACAAATTCCAGTATACCATCTGTTGGTCTCTTTGTTTATGCCCTCAGCCCAGAGGTCGAAATACGAGGACATTATCTTTCTTCGGTGCGCATTCGGATTCCCCAGGTGGGCTTCAAATTGAACCCCCAGGTGGACAGCTTCCTCATAAGGACCAGTCGCGGGCCTTCCCGAGCACCAGCAAATGTTGATGGCCCAGGACAACAAGGGACCGACCAGAAGGCGGTGAAGTGATGCGCCCGCCTGGGCATCTGAACAGATTCAATGCCCGCACAGATCGCGCATTCTGTTCCCGGAGACGGTATCGCAAATGTTTGACCGTCTACTTAGTGATTCCTTTATCATCTTTTCCAATTCTCGTCATCTTTTGACCAGATCTTTGCCGTTCCTTGCCTCTTTGGTCTTTACCTCATCTCCCTCACTTCCCCCACTTGCCCCCTTTATTTCTATCTTTCCTTTTTCCTTTCCCCCTTTTGTGACCCGCTTCATTTGCCCTACCCCTGGTCTGCAGGTCATCCAGCCCCCTCCACTGGGTCTCCCATCGACGCGATCAGGTTCCTCAAAAGGCGATCATCACATTTTGGAAGACGCATGGTCGCATCCAGCCTGGTCAATCCCTCTTTAGCGTGGAGCCGTGTCATGCTGCGCCGAAGGCAAAGCACGACTGGGAGATTCGGGTCTTGATGCGCGGTGAGAACCCATCCGAAGGATCGGGCATTGTGTGCATCACAAATTGACCTCCAGCCACAAGCGAGCACCAACAAACACGAGCGGGGAGTTCTGGGTCTTCAGCCGCGCACAAACACAACCCCACTAGTCACTATCATAAGGCTCATCACGAGAGCTAGAACAGTGGTCTTGTCGGATGATTTGCCCGTTTCCGAAACATCGGGCTCCCGGATTCCTAGATCATGGGTTGGCCCAGGTGTCGCTGGTTGCCTCATTGTTGCGAGATCTCCGCCCCAAGCAGTGACAAGACGGGCAATCTCCGAGGCCCTGTGATGCATGACCCGTCACCAAGGTCGGTATCTGTCGAGCGGACCATAATCTGAAGGCGTCCGAACGTGAACGTTGAGTACAGTATGCAATAAGCAATCGGTTTTAAGCAGACATACGCCGACTCACGGACTGCTTGTCCGAAGCGAACCGGGAAGTTACCCAGCTCTCGCGACGTCATTCATCCTTTGCGTTATTGTTCAGGACCAGGATATACTACAGATGGAATCGATTCGAGTGAATACTGTACATTGTACCACAAAAGTTAAGCTAAGGGCTGTACATGACTAGCAGCGGGCATTGACAGATACGGACCTCCGTTCCATACGGGCCTCCATTCTGCCCGTGACGCATGATGTGGCACCGATGCTGGTAAGAACCGACGGCATGGCGCGAGCAGATCTTAGCTTCCTTGCGTCATGAGTGGATATACTCTGGCAAGTACTAGTCCCCAGCCCCACGTAGAGGTGGCTGCCCATAGCTGGGGTGTCTCAGAACGGGGACCTGAGAACAAAAGAACATGTTCATCTGGGAACGGTCCAGGGCACAAGTGACACAACATGGGGCCCGTGGCCATGAAGGGAAAATACTACACAGGCCCGCCATTTCCTGTGAAGGTGCACACTGTTGCGCTTGCACATTCCAGTGAGTGAGGACAAGAAGCCTGGTCCTGGAGTGAACAGGACTGGGAGACGCCGGCCTTATATCTCCAAGCGCTCCGGTCGCCCGGCAAGACCAACTGTGTAGCACTAGCAACCAGCCTCGCCAGATTCAAGTCCAGGACCTTCATGTGGTGCAGAGGAACTTCAGGAGTCGTTAAAGTGCCGGGTGCGGTATCCGGTCATCTCTGCGTGTGCTCCCTCCCATCAAATGTCCAGGGGCACATGGTGACCATATGCGAAGAGCAAAACCCGACTCTACGCCCCGAAATGACCATGCCCTCTCAGGGTTTCGGGCCCAAGACGTCAGGTCCTCAATCAAAGACGGGGCCGACTGAGGAAAGAAATGATCGGCGTGGACATGGCAGGGTGAAGATGTGCGCGACTGGTGGGACCGCGCCGCAGGTCAATAGGCGTCTCAAGTATACCGAAATACTTGGAAAACGAGTTGCATGTCTGCGCAAGTGGGCTTTGGCACTTGGAAGCTGTCGGGCAACCGTGGTCTAACAGAGCACAATGATTGCCTGTTCCTTCTTTCGTCGGATTTTCCAGTTTCTGCAGCACCTCTGCCTGTACCCGACCGCTATTCTTTGCCCATGACGTCATACCCCGTATCGTGTGCGAGAATGTCAAATGTTTCAGAAACCCTTGGGGAGTTTCTGATCTTCTAGACTGCTTAGAATGGAGAATCGAAACTCAATGAAACAGATTCGGATCACCGAGTACCACTAAACCTTGAATTTCATTACTCTGTATCAGGCTTTCTGATTGGGCCCACGCTTTGCCCTCAGAATAAGAAGAGAGCGACCCCCGACGAGAATACAACTTCATCTGCGCCCTTTGCTGTGGACGAATGAGATGGCATTGTGTCGGGTGGGTGATTTCCCTGGCTCACTGACCCGGGTCTAATGGGTAGGAACCCCTCGGCAACGGTGACCGGCACGCCCAAATAAGGTTGATTGGGGCTTTTTTTATTACCAGCTCCACCGCTGGGATTTCTTTACTCGCTATTCCAATATAGGACCACTGGTATTTTCTTAAGTGGTTGTCACAAATATGCCCGCTTCGCGACGTGGAGGCAGATCTCGTGTGATTGCGCAATTGGTGTTTCTGGAGATACTGCCCTTGGCGTGGGGTAAAGAATCAGACGCGCCATTCTGGATTACACTACGGATGGATAAGGCCAAATCGAAAGGGTCAAATTCTCCGTCTTGAGGTGGGAAACCGCTGAACGTCTCCATGCAATCTGGCCGACCAGAACCAGGAGCCATGGTAAACAGAGGCTAACGGTGGGCAACATACTGGCTGGTGCCGTGTGCTCAAGACGGAATACCTCAGTCACCGAGAGCCTGTTCGTTTGGAGAACAGAGAAAGTTTTCGCTGTGCTTTGCCTTAATGGTTACTGCTATCTTGAGGGCCAGGCGGTTGTGCTCATAGCAATGGAATTGCCCGACTTTGCAATCTGAGTTAACCACTCATTCTATGAATTGCCGAGCTGTTTTCAGCTATGATAGTCCGTGCTATTACAGCACCTATGTCACCAACTTCTAAATACATGACCTGCGTTGCTTCTAATTAAGGTTATTCTATTGCTTCAGACAATGAAGTCCATAGCTGGCTCGGTCAGAATAGAGGATGTTGCGTTGACTGTTGATGATGGATGAATTTTTGACCACATGACGCGAGACCAGTCATAAACGACCGTGATTCTCTGCCATGACCTGCTACAGTACTGGTCTAGGTTAGCTCAGCCAGATGGCCGGGCTTTGGGGGGAAAGCTCTTGTTAGAAGCGCCCGTGCTCGGCAGTCACCGTCAAAGATCGACCTCGGTCAGATCAACGAGACTGATGCGCGCGTATTCCATGGAGGCACTGATTGACCTCCCAAACTCTCATCATCTCAAGTGGCTCGGCAAAGTCATAACGTTCAGTCGGATGAGTTGTAGATTCAACTGGGTGAGAAAAAGGTAGGTTTATGGTTCAAACGAAGTACGGATTTCTAAAAATGACCAGCTAGGGCTGTGTGCGACTGAAACCACGGCTTCCCTCGCTGGTACGCGAACGGTCAAGTTGTGGGAAAAAATGCCCGCTCGTTTGACGGGTTTCATTCTGCTTTCCCATTGACCAACATCATCATATGGCCTCACGCTTAGTAGGACGTGTAGATGACCATCTGTTTCTCATTTAAAATGGGCACGGTCAGGTATTCCATTAAACCACCTTCCTTGGAACGGGTACGTGCCATGAGAAGTTGCAGGACATTGTTATCTTGTAAAATTGCCTGGCTAGTATAATGTTCCTAATCAGATATAGCGCCTCGCGCTTGGCATCGAAGTGCGCGGTCTATAAAGTCACCTTCATTGGCCGCTCAAGGACAGCCAGCTTCTGTGCTACAGTATATTGTCTCCTAACTATCCTGAGTCTCAAAGCGTTATAAAGCATTGCATTCGATGCGACCTTTCCTGTTCTACGCTTCGCTAGTCCTCTTACTGGAGTAAGTGAGCTGACCTCCCGGTTTGAGGCCGAGTCAACATCTCCAGGTCCAGTTAGGATAAGGCGTTGTAGGACCAGAAGGTGTTTCAATGTTACCCACGAGCCCATTTACTGATACTAGTCTGCTGAAGTGGGTGTTGCAGGAAGCCTGCGTACAGTACACACCAAATGACAACAAGTGCTCGTTTTGAGTCGTTGCCACGAAAAAAAATTCGCTACAGTTTAGGAGGTGCTGCTACAGGTAAGCGACCAAGTTTTATAGATTTCTCAATTCTTCAGGGTTGAGCAGGATGCATCCTCCGCGATTCCGGCCGGGAACATATTCTGTTTCTTCTCCCGAGACTGGCCTATGGAATCCCTACTGCACAGCTTCTTCTCCACCGCTTTCGGAACGGCATGCTCATGTTCTTTCTTGGGATATGTGTACACCAGTCCGGACATCATCTTCCGTTCTGCAGGCAGGCGGATTCGTGTGATCGTCGGGATTCGACGCAATCTGCCAATAAACTGTGGGTCCAGACACCTGCCCGAAGTAGGCAGAGAGTTTCGATTTATCGGAATCTGAGACGCCGACTTTACATTTAAAGTGGCCTTACTGCCTTCTGCTCGGCTCCGTCGTTTGACGGGAAGCGGGTGAATAATATCGGATAAATGCAGGCCAGTGTTTCTTCTAACGATTACGCGTGATAGGTTGCGTCTCCCTTTCCGTGCGTGCACCTCAACTGCGGTCCCAATATGCAGACTTGCTATTATTTGAAGCCTGTTGGGGAAGGATATGGGCTGATTCTTTGCCTCGTCGTTGTGCGCTCTGCCCTGGGAGATGATCACGGCACTCACCCAGATGCTATGGATTTGGCCGTTGAACACGAGTAATCTGATGAGCCAGGGGAACGAAATGATGATACGTCTTTCTTTGCAATTGATGTCCAAGTGTGAGTGCCGTTGTGGTTTGCTTGAGAAGCCAAAAACATCGCTGACCGCTCCTATAGGACGATTTCTGTACTGTCAAAATAAAGTCTGAACCTCTGCTGCACGGTACCGAGAAGGAGTGACAATCTTTGCGAATATAGCCGATGGATGAACGATATAATCTGACGTCTACTCCGCACAAGTTGGCAAGGAATGTGGGCGAAACTGTCCTCTAGTGCGTAGAACACCCAGGGCGTCCCTGGTGGCGGCTGCGTGAAGGACGTGCGAAATGTCCCTGAACAGCCATAGCCGAAGTCAGTTTCCATATCAATGCGCCCTGGGCATAGGAGAGCGTTATCCAGCTGCTTGATGACGTTGGTGGTCGTGATCAAGATGTGGCCACCCCGCGCAGTTACGTCATGAATACTGTAAAGCATAGCACACAGAGCGACTCCGTTGGAGGATAGTTTCACTGTCCGCTTCCAATTCAGGGCCTTGGTCGCCTTCGTACGTCCCGCGAACATTGTCGGGAACGTGATACCGATGTGCTCATGATGAAGCAACTCAAACACAATGGCCAGATTAGTTTCTCAATGTTCACCGCCAACGGCCTCTATCGCAAGAGCAATGGGTAGGCATTGGTCCCCACTTGATGTTCATCCACTGACGAGAGAGGCCCCACACTCTTCGGGACCCCAAGCGATAGCATGAAACGAAGTGGCTACCAACTGTATCGGCGAGCCAAATCCACAGTAAGGAGGTACCATCGCGGTGTATTAATAATAGACAGGGAAGTACGGCCTCTTCTCCAAGTGTGGATGAGCTCCGATGGGTACTAACTGCATAGTGTTGAATCCTTAAAAGGCTAGATTATACAGTAGCGTCGTTACGCAAATCAGCAGTCAATGAGAGAGGTAAGCCAACTCACCGTGTTTGGAAAACGTACTTGCTCACTAATTTCCTGGTTGTACATTTTCATCTCAGCAAGATCGTACAATGGAAGCATCCTCTACAGTATCTATATAAACGAATTGTGAGTATCCAGAGTGATGCAATTGAAATAGTTGACTCCACTTGTTAAGGATTGGGTGGGGGATCGTACTATTTTGACTACAACATAGCAAATTGAGGTTTCTTCAAACCAGCGCATTTTGCGGGGACAAATGAGCCTAAACCGACGTATATTACTGCCTGAGGCAACTTTGGACTCCGGCCGAAGGGGTGAGTAAGCTGGTAAACAACCCGACACGCAATTCTCTCCCGACTCTATTCCCCGCGCCGAATAGAGCCTCCTCCGCTGTTGAGTTGCTTGGGCTCGATTATCGGCCGAGTAACTCTTTTGAAACGGGATGGAGGAATCAATAGCCGAATAACGACGTCAGATTGAAGAACAAGGAAGGCGGCGAGAAGCGGCAGAGCGCCGCGAGGAGGAGGAGAGACAGGCGGCGAGAAGCGGCAGAGCGCCGTGAGGAGGAGGAGAGAAAGGCGCGAGAAGACGCTGAACGTCGAGTGCAACCAAACTCCCTGTTTCGCCTCCTCGATCGCTGCCACAATTCTCTCTCCCAAGGGATCCAAGTTGAGGCAGATGCCACCCTTACTACTCAGGGCGACGCGGCCGATCCAGTGAACCGACTCTACCCCAAGCACATCGTTCCTTGGCGTGACTTCCCCCAACTACAGGAACAGATCTGGGACAAATTCGACCGTAATATTGCTTTTACCATGCGCCCACTATTCCCCTCTGATACCCAAATCGATTATGTCGTCACGAATATCCAGAACAGATCAATCTATTCGAAAGCCTCTCTTCGGAATTTTGAGCGACACACGGTGGACAACTTTGTTGAAAAGGTCATTGAGGTTTCCCGAGACGATGAACCCCTTCGAGATGAGTTTGGAATCCAAGGCCGAGTCACCTTCTATGATCGCACAAACCCGTCGGAAACTTTGCTCGAGAACAGCCTAGAGCAAATGAATCTCGAGGACGCGCGGACACCCCAACGACCGGCGAACACGAAGCGTGGAAGAGGCTGAGGACGATATCCCTAATCAGGATGCGCAGGCGGATGTGCAGGCGGACGATGAACTGCGCCTCCACCGGACTGCCATTGGTCAGGTGCTTGCGTTCACACTTCAAGCGCTGGCCGTCGAACCACCCACTCAGAAATGGCACGATGTGGCACACGACCAGCTAACAACCTGGAAGGTCGAATATCTCGACGTGTTGAGAGAAATCCCCGAGACTCTCCGTAAAGACCCGCCGGCGTCTGATTATCGGCCCTCTCTCTGGAAACCGGATCGGAAAATACACAACACACGCGCTCGCGCTCGCGCGCGTTGTCAACCGGGCGCATCGACACCGAAGCATTCGTCCACTGAAGGCAGCGGCAGTGATCAAGAATCGCTTTCGCCAACCGCCGCAGCCGCGTCGCGCATCCGATCGAGCCGCGGCCAAGGCAACCACCGCCAAT